TAAGACCAACTGTGGAAAACACTATAGCGTTATCTAATCAACTCAAGGCTGAGTGTGGTCTGTTTCCTTTGGGAGTTCTAATGGGAGAGAGGGATGTGAAAGTAGGGAATGTAGAAAAGAGTAAAGGAAGAGTCCATACTTATACATAATTTAGTAAGCAAACATCTGTTGAGTCAGATGCTGCTAGGCTTAGAAAATACACACATGAACCTTACAGTGTCCCTGTCTTCTGGAACTTTACTGCAGAGGAGTCATAGGCCCCAGAAGTGAGAGTAGACTCATAATACAGGTCTTCAGAATACATCCTTTTGAATGCAGAGGACCTTCTGTGTCTATTCATTGAAAATTGGGTCACCCTAATTGTAAAGAATTTTGTTTGATCTCAGGTTATTCATTTTGCTTGAATCTGCATTTATTTAGTTATTAATTCATAAACATCTTTTTATGTGCTTTTGGTCACCTGTAGTTCTTTTGCAAATGGCCTGTTTAAGGTAATTGTCCACTTTTTTGTCATTTTTAGTTACTTTTAATTACCTGAGGAATACATGTGTGTATCCCTCTTTATTAAAAAAGTAGAACATTATAAAGCTAAAGTTATACTTATGTATTATATGTTCATCAAACCTAAAACTTTTTATTTTATTTATTTTTATTTGTTTATTTATTTATTTTTTATTAACACCTACAGCACCTGGTATTCCTAGGTGGTCTCCCATCCAAGTACTAACCAGGCCTGACCCTTCTTATCTTAGCTTCCGAGATCAGACAATGTTGGGCACATTCAGGGTAGCATGGCCATAGACAAACCTAAAACTTTTAAAAGCATAAATGGTATCATATTGTTAATGTTTTTACAAATTGCTTTTTTAAAATTCTAATTCAGCAGTGTTTTGAGAGCCCTGTATATTAATACAGGTCTAGTTCTTTCTTTTTAAAAAATTTTAATTTATTGAAATATTCATATACTATACAATTTACCCTTTGAAATTGTGCATTTCAGGGATTTTTAGTATATTCACCAAGTTGTACAGTCATCACTACTGTCTAATTCCAGAACATTTTCATCACCCCAAAAAGAAATCCCATACCCCTTAGCAGTCACTTTTACCCCTTCCCCTCCTAGCCCTGGTAACCGTTACCCTACTTGATATTTCCATGGATATCTGTCTTCAATATTTCATAGAAATAGAATTACACAATATGTGGCATTTTGTGTCTGATTTCTTTCGTTTAACATGTTTTCAAGGTTCATTTGGGTTGCATTATGTGTCAGTACTTCATTGCTTCTTATGGCTGAATTTCATTGTTAGTCTATTCATTCTTTGGTGGACATTTGGGTTGTTTCCATTTGTTGGCTATTCTGAATACTACTATGAACATTTGTGTACAAGTCGTTATGTTTTTACTTCTCTTGAGTATATGCTTAGGAATGGAATTGCTGAATGAAATAGTAACTATGAGTATATGCTTAGGAATGGAATTGCTGAATGAAATAGTAACTATGTTAAGCTTTCTAAAGAACTGCCAAACTATTTTCCACAGAAACTATACCATCCTGCAACCCAGCTAGCAATGTAAAGGGTTCCAATTTCTCCACATCCTCTTCAACACTTTTTAGTTGTTTTTTATTGTGGCCATCATAGGAATGTGAAGTAGTATCTGATTATGATTTTGATTTACATTTCCCTTATGACTAAAGATGTCTTTTCATGTGTTTATTGGCCATTCGTGTATCTTCTTTGGAGAAAAGAATATTTAAATCCTTTGTCCATTTTTAAATTGAGTTATCTTTTTATTGTTGAGTTATAAGAGTTCTGTATATATTCTGAATACTAGATCCTTGGCCAAATATGTGATTTACAAATATTTTTTTCTCATTCTATATGTTGTTCTTTTCTTTTAAATGCTATATAGCAAGAGTCAGGAAACTTCTACTATAAAAGACCAAATAGTAAATATTTTAGGCTTTGTGGGCCATATGGTCTCTGTTATAACTATTCTCTGTTATAACTATTCCTTGCTGTTATAGTGGGAAAGCAGCCATAGGCAATGTAAATGAATGAGGATGGCTGTGTTCCAATAAAACTTTGTGTAGTAACTTTCATTGTCATTTTTTTCTCAAATGTAAAAACTATTTTTAGCTCATGGACCTTTCTGTATGTATTCAATCTCGTGAGTATGTTTATAGTGATTTTTTTGTTTTCATATTAAAGTGGTATTACTCTTGCTTGTTGAAATAAAATATTATTTTTATACCTAACATTATGAATGTATAGAAAATCAGCAGAAATTGAAATAAGAATAATAGCCAAGAAAGTTTTGATTATAAGGACTAATATATACTATTCTTTAGCTTTCTTTTGCCCATTAAAAAATAATCTGGCAAACATGAATATTTATATTTAAGTTAGAGCCTTTTGTTGTTTTTATTTTTATGTATATAATACTTTTTGAAGGCTTACTGCACTTACGTGTCTCATAGGGTGAAAATTAAACTTTTCTGCGATGGTTTGGAGATTTTATGTTGGACCCTGAAACTTATTTGGAATCATGAAGAACTTTCATTTAGACAAATCTCCTGAAAAAGTTTTTGCTAAGATAGTCTTTCTGTTGTTGGCATACTATACAAGTTTGTTTACTGAGATCAGTATTCTGTATATAAAGGAATATAGAATACTTATAATCATTTAAAGGAAGGTGGTTTATTTATCCCCTGATAATTTAACACAATTAGATTTTTGCCCTTTGTTTTTAGGAATAAAAAAATATGCATTGCAATGCCTTTTTTTTTTTTTTTAATAGCATTTTGATAAATAACATGGAATCCTTGAGTTTGGGTATATGTTGAACATATTTCAGTATAAAATTGTATTGTAAGTATTCAAATAAAATGTAAGCAACCCTTCAATAGTAAGCAAAAAGAGATATGAATTGTTAGTATTTAATCTCTATCCCTTTGACCTGATTTTTTAAATATTTTGTTCTTGTGTTCTCAGGCCAGATTTTCTTGTCATATAGCCTGAACTAAATAAGAGGCTTCTCTGCCCTTTATCCTTGCCTTATTTACCATAAGTAACAATAGTAAACTGGTGCCTTATTATAAAATAAAGGCATTGACTCTCTTTCTCATTGATGGGAAATGTATTTGGGCTTGTGTTAATTGAATGTACTTGGAAGAGCTTGATTTTTTTTTTTTTAGGTAAGCATTTATTGGTGTTCAATAAATAGAAAACATGGATGGTCCCTCTTCTAGTTTAAAATTTGCTGCTAAAATTTATTCAGAATATATTGGCCTGTTTAAGAACAGACACACAAGAATTCATTTGATTAAATTAATAATTAAATTTAATTTTTAAATGTGGAATTGTCTTTTTTTTTTTCTTTTCGTAATTTAGATTGTGAAGATTTAGGTATGCTTTCCAGTGCAGTTTTGCTTATAATCTAGAGATAGGTAGTAATATTTCCAAAGGAGAGAGATTCCCATAGTTTTTAAAATTCTTTTTCTTTGCAGTTTTGTCTGGTTAGATTACACAAAAATATATTACTTAGACCTACCAACATATAACTAATTCCTTTGTACCTTTTGTTCTTTATCTGTTAATAGTCTTTATGGGCTTCTCTATCATGCTGCTTTCTGAGGTTCCTGGTTACCATTAGTAGAGGTAGGCTTACAGAAGGTTAAGAGTGTACATGTCATAAGCTACATCCTATAGCCTTGTTTTATAAAAGAGAAAAGAAGAAATCACTTTTGGTTTAACACAGGATATTCTGTAGTTGATGTGTTGCCATTAAGAAACCCTTTTTACCCTGCACTTTTAATTTCCCTTGTGTTGTTTCCAAAAGCTGTATGATTATCTTTCAGTCAATATGACTGAAAATGTTGTTATTTTGTTGCTTTCTCAATGGTTTTTAAATGAAAGAAATAGGAATTAATGGAGTAGTTAAAGATGAGAATAAGGAAGATATGAAATAATTTTATCTTTTTGCCAAGTCAAAGTTTTTAAAAATGCTCATAGTTTTGAAAATAACCTAAAGAATATACTTTTTTTTTTTTTTTTACATTTTTAGGGATTAAAATAGATTTCTTTCTTTCAATTTTTGTGTATCATAAAATGAAAGAACCTAGTTGAAATGAATAATGTAGTTTACTGAACTTATCTATCTTTATCATCTATCTTAGTTGTAAACTAGGCTGTTTGTTGTGTCAAGTGGAGTAAACTACAAGCCTTTTTGTCAAGTATATAGTTTTCATTTGCAGTGAGTCTTTAAGGTAAAACAGTATTTAAATTATTTATTTTTCTCTGCTGACCTTTCTTTCCTTTTACAGCATCCACTCGTTTTGTGAAGTGTGAAAAATGTCATCATTTTTTTGTTGTGCTATCTGAAGCAGACTCAAAGAAGAGCATAATTAAAGAACCTGAATCAGCAGCAGAAGCTGTAAAATTGGCATTCCAACAGAAACCACCTCCTCCCCCCAAAAAGGTATAAAATCTTAGCTCAGTCTTTTAAGTATTTTATCTTGGAGACATTTCATTGTTCCCCTCTCCCCAGTTTATATTAGATCCTAATACTAGTATCTAAATACATATTATAAGTTCTTAATATGGACTATATCTGGCCAAATTGTTATTGATCTTTGATACTTGGAATTTAAGTATGGAGTCCATTGCTGTCTTCATGATTACTGTGTTCAGTAGCAATGAAATATAGTTGGGTGATTACTAAAAAATGTTAATACTAAATTAATCCAAAATGATATCCTTAAAATAAAGCAGCTGTGGATTTACTTTTGTTAGTTTAGGCCCCTAAATAAAACCAGCCTGCAATTGCTCCCCATTAAATTAGTCTACTTTATGGTAAAAGAGCCTCAGGTTAACAATGGAAGCAAGTAATTTTTTGACAGCCAGTGTGCCAGCGCTCTCTTTTATAGCACTTTGGCTTTTGTGGTGTTGGCTCTTGTCAAGAGTCTCAGATAGATTGTGATTGGGCTGGTATGAAACACGGCAGAGTGTACCACAAGCTCCACTGGGTACTTGGTGTGCGCTTTCTGAGAATAGGAGCCCTGCTCCTGGGCTCTGTGCCCTGTGTTCTGGCCATGTCTCATATGTTTGTGCTCTTTGATTATTTTTCACCCTCTGTACCTTTCTTCTACTGTATTTAGATATCGGTGCATTTGTCTCTTCCTCCAGATGTGCTGTGGCGGATTTAATGATTCATGGGTGTAATTTGTGAAGAATGCGGAGTTTTTAAAATTTTGCTATGTAAAAATAAATGATGTAATGGGAAATATAGCCATTAAGCTTTATATTCTCCACTAATTTGTGCAGACTTTAGACATCCGAATCAAATTTCTAGAAAATAAACAGGCAGTTAAACTATTTTCCAGAGTTAGTGAATATTAACAGTTAATTTCTATTTATAAAAAGCTGAAGGAATTTACCCCAGGTTCTAAGCTGTGGTAATAGCCACATATCAAATAGAACTTTAGTTTCTACTAAGAGTAAAGCTTTTAGATTGCCATATAGATAAACAAGTATCCTTAAAGTTAATATCTGAGAAAAAGCTAAATGTTTGTTTTAAAACACATAGATACTGGTAATATAATGGCTTTTGATTATATAATGCTTAATTTTGAAAAGGGTGGTTTTATAATATATTATCTTTGTGAAGGTTATTATTAATATGGTCAAGAAAGGTGTAGAAAGGATTTATTTTAAGATTCACATTAATGATGATACCTTTAGACCTATGGTGGCATGTGTAGGTATTCTAAGTGACTTTAATATTAACTTTTAAAAATTAGGATCAGTGGCATTGTTTATAGAATAGAAATTGGCATAGCACTAGAAGAGTGCAGTGACATTTTGTTAGGCTAGAGAACAAACAAATTGTGTTTTTGTTCATTTAGAGTTTGGGGCCTTGAATCATTGCTACATAATGTATCATGCCCTTGGTATTTTGTTTTCGATGAGTCTTTGTTCACATTTAAAACTGTAAGCAAATATGCTCAGTATATAACTCTTTAATGTGTGTTTTTATAATAGCTCATATTAAATTATTCATATTAAATTATTCAAAATATGATTATTTTTCAGATTTATAACTACCTCGACAAGTATGTTGTTGGCCAGTCATTTGCTAAGAAGGTGCTTTCAGTTGCTGTCTACAATCATTATAAGAGAATATATAATAATATCCCTGCTAATCTGAGACAGCAAGCAGAGGTTGAGAAGCAGACATCATTAACACCTAGAGGTTAGTGTTTTGATAATTGGCCTAAATAGAGATTACTATGCTTAGAGGTATAGTACAACATTTTCAAAGTACAGGTCACTTTCCGTTAGTGGATTATGAAATCACTTTGGTAGGTTGTCAACAGCATATTTTTTTTAAGTGTAGTAGATGTGAGTAGAAAATACCAGAATACATTAACTTGCAGTTAAGTATTATTTCTTAAAACTTTTGCTCACAGTTATATGTGCATGGGTTCTGAGTCACAGAGTAAAATGTATTTCTTACCAAGGGTCTCAGTGAAAAATGTTCAAAAATTACTGGAGTAGAGATTGAGATATCACCTTTGAATTGTAAACTTCACTCCTAGTTCACCCTGACCCTATAATTGCAATCTTCTGTACAACTCTGAGTTCTTCTCTTTTGGGTTCAGGGTACAGAATTTCATTTGCCTAAATCAGAGATATATGGAGATAACTCTTACAGAACGTAGGCAGCACTGTTTCTGTGGGGGGCGGGCAGGTACAGAGTACAAGGTTAAGGGCAAATTTGTAAGTGATTCAAAGTATAATTCCTGTTAGCGATAGATTCTAATATACCAGTGTACTGTGTAATCTCAGCTTACTGTGGACAATAATGTATATTATATTAATAGAATGATTTTATTAAAAAACTGTAAGTAGAATAAGAGGTAAATATTTTAAGTTCTTTGTTGGTGGCCAGGGAGCTTTGATTTCTTACTTAGGCCTATAATCTATCATTTTACGTTCTTTTAGTAATCATTTTACAATTGGAGGGAGTTACATTTATGAAACTACTATAACTTTTGATTACTTTTAATAGCTACTAAATATAGGGCTCAGTGGAGACACTTGTTCACTTGTTGAACTTACTGTAAAATAGTTATGTGGTAACAGTTACTTTATTTTTAGAAAGTATTCATAATAACTAATGGAAGACTTGGAACCTTCATTTTTATAAGGTCCAAATAGCACTGTTTAGTCATGAAGCAAAATGATTTTTTTTTGGTTCCTTCAGTCCACAATCAATTAAATTCTTCTAGGTGCTGGAAAAGCAAACAGTTATATGGTATTTATAGTATGAGGGATTTAAACTCTTATCAAAGACTTATACTACTTATTTCTTAAAATAGATAACTTTGTATTTGGCAAATGTGAATATTAGCAACTGGATAGCCATCATTAAGTTGTTGGTTTTTTTTTTGTTTTGTTTTGTTTTTTTACTGTAGAAAGGATTAGCATATAGATTCTTTCATAATGTTTTGAAAAGCTAAAAAAAGTTAATGAGCACATTCTGTAAATATATTTGGAGGAGGACAAGTAGTGGGATACTCTTTGTTTGTTCCCCTAAACAAATATGTAATATTTTCACGTTACCATTTTCATCCTCTTTCTTAGAGTTAGAAATAAGAAGACGGGAGGATGAATACAGATTTACAAGTAAGTGACCCCCTCCTCAGGTCTTCCTCTATAATCATTCTTCCTTTTGAGATTTATTTCGGTGAAATATGTTAGCAATAATAACAGTGGACATGTATTTGCTTTTATATTACCAAGAAAGATGTTGTATATTATCTAAACATGTTTATCATGCATGGTATATATAACTTCCGAACAGTTTTATTAGCTAATTAGTGTAGCTTGTATAGATTGGGTTATTTTAGATATTCGATTTTATTTTTTCTGTTGCGATATTTCTTAAAGTATAATATAGAGAAATAAAAAGTATTATACATTGTTTTTCTCTACAAATGTAGATCTGCATGTTAACAGGAGTTGTATTTTTAAAAATCTATAGCTTACTACTTTATATCTTTTTTTTTTCTTCTTTTTTGCCATACAATTAGAGTTAGCCTGCATAATTTTAAGTGACATAAATTTTGGGAGAGTCAGGTTATCTTTGAACTACTCTTTGCCAGAAACCAGTGTTTATTTTTTGGTGTATATGAAAGTTAATATAGCCTTGCAAATTGTGAATAAGCCCCAGTTCACAGTTATCAGCCCTGGATTGCCCCTATAAGAATCGGATGGTCTGATGGAGGGCATGGAAGAACCTGATAAATCAAGGATAGTGGCCATTCTGATGTCTGGCACCCATTCCTTTGGAGGTGGATATAGTTGCTGCACAGAGGGTGAGGGTTCTAGGTGTATCATAAAAAGATTCACATGGCCTTATGTTTTAGTAATTAAAATAACAAACAAAGATAATTAATAGATAAACCAGTATGAACATTTTTTATTTCTAAGTTTGATACGTTTACTTTGCCTTTGACTCAAGCATTATTATTTATCTAGCATTTGAAGTGTATTATAAATACAGGATGTGCCATGAGAACATAACTAGTTTACCAATTCTGGCATGAGATTTATTATACATAATAAAATTGTATTATCTCTAGTTATTTTTAAATTGTATGAAAATAATTATTATACCATATATTGTAAAATTAAGAAACACAGTAAGTGCAGTAGAATTAGATTATGTATAAAAAAAATCTAAATAATATACTTTAAGTGCTTGTATAACTATATTTTATAACCCAAAAAATATAATCAAATATGCTGTCAATACTATATAAATTTGGGCAGATGGCTAGTGAAACTAGTAGTAAAGAAAAGTCCATAGTGAATATTTTGAAAGAAATATCATGTAATAAATGTAGTGATTTAATGTAATTTAAATGTTAACAAGTAATAGTATTTAAGAACTTAGGTAAAAGCAGTTTATAATTACATATACTGATTGACTTAGAAATTAGTATTTTTAAAGCTTAAAAGAATTTATTTTCATGTGTAGTTTAACCTTGTCCTATGTGAAGTTTTAAGTTCTAAAGTTAGGGTATTAGGCCCAAATCATATATAATCAAAATATTCTTGAAAATTTCTTTGGAAATCACATTAGAGACCAACATACTACTCTTAATAAGGCTAATTTTTTTTTCTCTATCATTAGAACGTATGTTTTTCTTAAGTTGAGCAACAGATGAAATAGTTGGCTTGTATTTGTGTATTATACAAATACTTAAACACTAGGAAAAAAGCAATGCTAATGGCAAATTCTTCTATGATATTTATAAAACTATCCGCCAAGCACTGTTCTTAGTGTTTTATGTATGTTAGCTTATGTAATCTTCCCAAAACCTGGTAAGACAGAAACTTTTATTTTCACTTCCATTTTATAGATGAGAAAACTGAAGCATAGAAATATTAAGTAATTTGTCCAGGATCATTGCAGCTGATGAGTTTCATGCAACTAACCCCTACACTAGTCTGCCTGCTCTCAGTTCTGCTCATTATAGAGTTGCTTATGGCAGTGAGATATGTAGGAATAGAGACTAAACTAAAAGGACAGGAGAGTTATCTCAAGTTTACTCTGAGACACATTTTTATAAAATGGAATGATTAACATTTGTTCTGTACTATTTAAATTATTCCTCTTTTAACTTTAATCATTGAGTAAGTTAAATTCTTGTATAATGTGATCTTCCTGTAGTTAACATGCTTCTTCTTGCAATTTTATTCAGATTATTCATCTAAATTATTTTTTTCTCTTGAGCATATCTAAAGTTGAGCCAAGCCACTTCCTATATTGTCACAATTCCTCACTAAATTTTGCAGAAATTTTTTAAAAAGCAAACAATTTTGCTAGAGTCAACTAGCTAGCTAACTGCACCCAAATAGGAGACTGCATTTTTTTTTTTTGCCTAATGTGGATTGTAATGAGGTAGCATTGTGAATCAGTCACTAATCATTACCCTCAAATGTAGCAAAATTTAATTAAATTCACAAGTTTATTAGATGCCTATTATTTTTGATGACTATAATAACCCTTTACCTTAAATGTGATGCTAAGATAGTTTGAAAGTGACAGCTAGATGGACTAGGACCTTAATAATAGTTGTGTCTGCTAAAGATTTATCTATTGGTTTGATTAAAATAATAATGTATTGGAAAGTACTGATGTTCTTAACCCATTTATTAGAAACAACCTAAATATTCAGAAAATATAAGCAAGTATGATATGACTTCAGATAGCTCAAATGCTGAGAATTGAGCAATACGGATATTTACAAATCTGGACAATTGAAAATACTATTGAGATTCTTTCCTTCAGCCAAGAGAGAGTGATAATTAAAATTTGTCTTGTTTAATTTTCCTTTTAGGGACCCCACTGATAAACTGATCACTCAACAGTAGTATCAGTCCCATCTAGTTAAGCATTCTGTATTTAGACTTAGAACTTTTAGAATTTAAAACCTCACACAGGACAAGACTAACCTATACATGATAATAAATTTTATTTAATCTTTAAAAATCTTAATTTCTAAGGCAATTACTATATGTAATTATATACAGTATATGTAATTACATACAGTATATGTAAAAGCCTATATAACTTAGGCTTTTACCTAAATTCTTAAATACTATTACCTGTTAACATTTAAATTACATTAAATCACTACATTTATTACATGATATTTCTTTCAAAATATTCACTATGGACTTTTCTTTACTACTAGTTTCACTAGCCATCTGCCCAAATTTATAAATATAGTATTGACAGCATATTTGAGTATATTTTCAGGTTATAAAATATATATTATACATGCACTTAGAGTGTATTATTTAGATCTTACATTTTTATATATAATCTAATAAAGGGGCAAGAAAGATCCAGTTGAGATCCTATAAAATCAGAGATTCAGATTGAGCCAGGGAATAGTGAGTCTTACCGTTTCTCTGGTAGACTCACAGAATCATTTTTAGATGTGGAAGAGACTGTAGAGGTGATAGGTCTCAGTATTCTCACTTTATAGGTAAGGAAGCAGGCCCAGTAAGTTAAATGAGTTGCCATGGTCTTGCAGCTGCACAGCTACAGAACTGAGACTAGAACCAAGTTCCCTATTCTCATCTCAGTTCAGTATTTTCTCTTTCTCTACAGCCCTGCTTCTTTTCAATTGTACTGAAAAAAAAAATTTATCTTTATCTTTCAAAGTGCCTACAAATCTATCGCCTTTTATTCTTACACCTTCCAACCGTATGCTTGAAAGTGATAGGATAGGAATTATTGCAGCAACAGGTAAATCAACAAATGCCAATTTATAGATTAGGAAACAGCACAAAGTTTATATGACTTGCCCCAAGTCCTGCAACTATTTAGAGATGAAAGACCAATGAAAGACCATTCTTTTATTATATACTGCCTTCCCATGAGTGAAGGGCATTCTTCATACAGGTTTACATAAATAAGGAGGGGAAGATAAAAAAAAGTCCATTTCCTTTGCTTGAAGTTCCCTGAATAATCATGTGTCTTGTACATTTGTCACTAGATAATTGGAAAATATCTTTCTTTTTAGATAAGACAATGTCAAAATATTTAAAATTTTCTCAATCAGTGATTGATTTTAGATGTAGGGTTTTATTGGATATTTTTTCAAGCAAAATCAAATGAAGCTCTAGTAATTCCTTTGCTGTTTTTTCAGAATTACTTCAGATTGCTGGAATTAGTCCACATGGTAATGCTTTAGGAGCATCAATGCAGCAACAGGTAAATCAACAAATGCCTCAGGAAAAACGAGGAGGTGAAGTGTTGGATTCTTCCCATGATGACATAAAACTTGAAAAGAGTAATATTTTGCTGCTTGGACCAACTGGATCAGGTAAATACCTTGCAGAAAAAAATGTACTAATTTTAAAAAATAGAATATAATTGATTCTGTAACCTGTGCCTTGTGGTTGGGAGATCCTGGTTCTTGAGAAGAAAATCTAAAGCCAGTTTTATGGATACATTATCAGTATTTGTATATAGTCTTCAAGCTGAATTTGAGGCATTGGTGTTGCCCTTTAGTCCAATTTCTGACGCTTAACAGATAATAAAAATAACACCATTAGATGTAAATAAAATGGAGAAAAGATGTAACAGTAATTTTTTATTATATATGATTCAAACTTATTTTGAATTTTTGTAGAGAAATCATATGTCAGTATATTTTTAGTAAACTTTTAGTTACTGTTTCTATTCGTAGGTAAAACTCTGCTGGCACAAACTCTAGCTAAATGCCTTGATGTCCCTTTTGCTATCTGCGACTGTACGACTTTGACTCAGGCTGGATATGTAGGTGAAGATATTGAATCTGTGATTGCCAAACTGCTCCAAGATGCCAATTATAATGTAGAAAAAGCACAACAAGGTATGTTTTCAGCATAGGTTGTCTGTGCCCAGATATAGTATATTAGGGAAACAGTCTAATATTAAGAGCTAATATAATTCTTATTTTGAATTGAGTAAAATTCTGTAATTATATAAAAGTAATAGTATGTTAAACATTTTCTTGCATAGTGACTAAGGGCTACAAAGTTTGCTTTGCCTTATTGTCATTAGATGACTAGGAAGGTGAAAACAGGCCAAATTAGTATTCCATTAGATCCTTAGTACTATTATTGTTTTTCTGTTCTGATTCCTATCCAGACTCCGAATGCTGGGGTGAGGTGGAGGAGGGAGCAAGGACCAGGGCAGGAGAGTACAGGATGAATCTAGAAATAGATTAGCCTGTTGACCTGCAGAATGTCATAGATGCTGCGTTTCCCCTTTCCCCATCTATCTCTATCATCTGTCTTTGTTTACAAGAAGAACTTGACAGCTTCTTGCCAAATTCCTTTAAGACAAGAATATAGTTGAGAAAAAGAAAGCCACTGCATGTACTTCCTGCTTCCACACTATACCTCTATTTCGGCTCCTAGAATAAAGAACCTGAAAACATGAGTGGGGTAGGTAATGATTGTCAGAGAGAATTGGTCATCATACCCAAGTGATATTCTATTAAAATAAATTATAAAACATTTGCACAAAATAATGAATGGGAGAAATACAGTGTATTTTTATAACGTTAAGCCATTGAGTATGTTAAGTGTCAAAGATCAAATAACCTTGCTCGCTGCCTACCTAGTCTTTTAAAGCTGAGGTTATCTTGTGTATATCTTTTTCATATTATAAATAGACTCCTCCTTAAATTATAGGAATTGTCTTTCTGGATGAAGTAGATAAGATTGGCAGTGTGCCAGGCATTCATCAGTTACGCGATGTAGGTGGAGAAGGCGTTCAGCAAGTAAGCAGTTGAATATTTTGTTCAAGCCCACTAAAAGGAGGGGAGTGCATCAACCTCCCGATATTGTACGTTTGGTTTCACGTTCATTTGGATTCTGTTTTATTTCCTCCACCCCCAAACTCCACATAACATTTTAAAGTATTTTGGATCCTAAGATAAAGCTAGTGTCAATTTTAAATACCAAATTACCTTTTTTATGAAATAAAAAATATTTTAAAGAACAGAAAAAATGCAATTTAATTTTCGTTGGTTTTATTCCTCAAAGACCAAGTTAAACATTTCTAGAGGACCCTTAAAGGAAGTTCTCGTTTTAACTAGACAAATGAACTATGCACTTGTATCTTTTCACTTAGTTAGAAGAGAGGATAAAATAGTATTTCATTCCTTGTAGAGTCATATTTTAAGGCATAATGATATATTGGTCAACTTCACCTTTTACTGTTAACTAATTATGTCATAAAATACAGGGTAAAGAAAAATTTTTTTTGACTAAGACACAGAGAAGTATGATCACATTTATAAAATGTGCTGAATGACATTTTTATAAGGCATCTCAAAATATAAATGTTCTCAAAGTTTAATACTAGGAATAGGATAGAATTTTAATTTATATGAATTATAACCATTTGCTCACTATTTTAAACTATTTCTATATGTTTGTAACTAATTCTAACTATTTTCCAATTTTGAATGTTCCCATAATGGTTGGGTACCACTTTATGGAGTCATAATTCTATCTTTGTGTTAGAATTATGTCTTTACCATCAAAAACAACCCCTCAGATTGACTGTTTCCTGAACACATCAGGAATCCTGCAACTATTCCAAATAAACTTATGAATGTGATAGTGCATTAGATTTTCATGTTAGTTGTAGAAATGTGGGAGTTTTCTTTAGTTATGCTCATTGACCATAACCACATATTATTTCCCCCATTGTTTCCCATTATCTAAAGTATAATATACTTATATGATGATGCTATAAATCATTCATTCTTTATTTAGGGCTTATTAAAACTACTAGAAGGCACAATAGTCAATGTTCCAGAAAAGAATTCCCGCAAACTACGTGGAGAAACAGTACAAGTTGATACAACAAACATTCTGTTCGTTGCATCTGGTGCTTTCAATGGTTTAGACAGAATAATAAGCAGGAGGAAAAATGAAAAGGTAAGTTTTTCTGAGGGGTTACTGGGATAAGGAGCATTTGAAGTTACAGAAGATGGACACTCAGTTTCTGTTCTCATAACTGCTGGTTACCACTTGTGGATTTTTAAGAGTTAGATTTTCTTAGAGCATACCAGAAATATTTTCTAGTTACATTTTAAATTTCAGAGTAGTAAGATTTCTAAATGTCATCTATATATGGGCATTTTTAAAGTATAACTTGATGATTTCAGTTTTATATTTCATCTGAAGAGTTCTTTTATTATTTGAGGTAGGTGCTATATTAGTAAAATTTCTATTCATTCCTCTTGCCCAATTAACTGGGGCTAAATAAAGAGCTTGTCTCCATTTCTCCTGCCCATAAAGTTTATCATAGATCACTGCTAACATTCACAAATGGAGGGAAGCAGTTTGGGGGTTGGAGGAAGAGTGCGAATCCCACATAGTTTTATAAGCCTTGATTTTAATTAGAACTTCTTCATGTCTTCAAGGTACAAGTGCAGTACCTATTTGTTGATTAATTACAATAAATATAATGTCAACATAGAAGCCCAGGACATACTTGTATTTTCCGTGTTTTTGTGTTTTGCATAATAGCCACAAATGACCCCTTTTATATAACATAATATTCTACTACCTAAGGGAATATGTCATAGATCAACTTATTCTATATTGCCTGCTTTAATTTCCTTGGCCTTGCGTCTTCTAGTTTCAGTAGCAGTTTCGTAGTAGTAAAAACGTAATGCTACTAATGGGATGGTTGCCTATGGTGATTCCTTTACTTAGGCTAGATGAGAAAACTCTTGTACAAATACTAACAGAGTCATGTGATGCTGTCATTCCTTAGTACCAGGCCTTATCGGCATGAATAAGGTTAGATTTTTATTTTTCATATTAGTTAATTTATGGGTTTTATTTTTGCTTTTAAAATTAAATTAGCCTAACAAATTGTAAGGAAGAAATTATTTTTGTGTGTGTGTGTGTGTGTGTGTGTGTGTGAAATTAAATTAGCCTAACAAATCGTAAGGAAGAAATTATTTGTGTGTGTGTGTGTGCTTGTGTGTTTGTTTGAGTGTTGGGGGGAGGGAGAATTTTATATTCGAAATTCTGTAACCAAAAGCAAGGACCATGTTCTGATATATATAATTAATAATTCCAAAAAGAATTTTAAGCTAGAAACATGTAGCAAAGAACAGTTAAAAGTAATGTCAGAAAAGAGATCAGAAACATGCAGAAAGAACGTTTAGGTCATATGAGGTCTTCAGGAGAGACAAATTTAAAAAGGGTTTGTTCAATATGTCTTTATGAAAAGACATAAGAGTTTTGAAAAGCATAAGAATCTTCAGTGATTTTATAGAGAATTAAACACATCATGTGGTTACTGTTTTCATTGGAAGTCAGGAGTATAACATGAAATAATATACCTATATTCCAACCATATCTAACTGCTTGCAGTCCTGCATTTTATTCCTCTTGGCCCTGCTCATGCCCTCAACTACGATGATCTAGTTGGAAAATACATGTTCATCTTTTAAGATTCCGTCTATTAAATAATTAGGCAATTCCTCTGTGAAGGTTTTCTTGATTACCTCCTACCTTCACTCCCCTATATATGCCTCTTTTCTTCCTTTGCACTGCCACTGTTTCCTGTACAGTTGTCCTTCATTGCACCTAGGATACTTTAATAAAGGAAACTCTTTTAGCATAAGGGCTATCTTTAGGTTTGTGTCCCCAGTGTTTTATGATAATGCTTAATAAATGTTTATATAATATGTATATATTTATTACTATATATCCTTATTATATATAATGTATGCTATAATATATACTTAATAAATGTTTAAATTATTAAATAAAAGATATTTTGCTTTCTGAATACACTGTGTACACAGCTTGGAGAATCAGAGGAATTGATTTTTAACTTAGGCTATTTTCTCACATCATGTGCTTCTCTTATACTTTTGACAAAGACTATATGACATATCCAGATTAAACACTCTGATAATTGCCTAGAGTATGGTTCTTTTATATTGACTGAAGCAAGATTCAAACACCTTAGATACCCAGCCTTTTGCGGCAAAGTTAGCATTCCTGTTTTATGTCATCCTTATATGTTTTTATAAAATCTAATCTTAAATTATTTTAATTCATAGATTAATGTATGCAACCCCAAATCATGATTTGAATGGAATGCTTAGCAGTGATTGAAGACACTTGTGGATAATTTTGTTATAAAACTGCTTGTCCCAGAAGCACTGCTCTTGTTTACAGTATTACAAAATTAACTCTGGTTACAGAAAGATTACTATCTCCATTTTCATAGTTTTTATACATTTTGGACTTCACACTAGTCTAGAGATCTCAGAAAAACCTTGCAACATCATTATGTGAATTCTAAGAGGCTTCCCTTTATAGTTCTTATTTATCTCCTTTTACTAGAATTCATTCTTTGAGAATTGGTTGTTATATAGTGATTAGGTTCTCAATTCTGAAGGCAGATAGACCTGAGTTCGAATTCAGACTTTACCACTCACAGCAAGAATTTGGTCAAGGTACTTACCCTCTCTAGGTCCATTTTCTTCATTTATAAAATGTGAATGATAATAGAGAACTTTCTTCTGTTGCAAGATCACATGAGATATGCATGCAGAGTATTTAGTACAATGCAGCTTCATTCTGCTATTTATAACATCCATTTTTCTTTGGCAGTATCTTGGATTTGGAACACCATCTAATCTGGGGAAAGGCAGAAGGGCTGCAGCTGCTGCAGACCTTGCTAATCGAAGTGGTGAATCAAATACTCACCAAGACATTGAAGAAAAAGATCGATTATTGCGTCATGTAGAAGCCAGAGATCTCATTGAATTTGGCATGATTCCTGAGTTTGTGGGACGGTTGCCTGTGGTAGTTCCTTTGCATAGCCTAGATGAGAAGACACTTGTACAAATCCTAACCGAGCCACGAAATGCTGTTATTCCCCAGTACCAGGCCTTATTCAGCATGGATAAGGTTAGATTTTTATTTTTCATACTTAGTTAATTTATGGTTTTTTGCTATTAAAACTACATAAATTAGCAAAAATTAAAAAGCAATCCGTTTCATCTGGAATACTAGCCTATTCCTCACTAAAAATCAATCTAGGAAAATCAGAGAAGGTACACTTTGTTATTTTAGACATTTAAGAATTGGTTTTATTTTTTTCTTAATTAAAATTGTCATTGTAGCTCAAAGTCCAAGGATATATATAGAGAGAAATTACTCCAGCAGCCTACTCTCAACAGACCTTAGGACAGATAAACAGGATTGTCCCTTCAGCCTTGATATTCTCCATGTTTTTGTTGTGACATACTATGTATACTTTTTTCTATAAAGTTTTATTAGTTCTCTCATCTACGACTCTGCAGCTAGACACTTGGAGGTCACTCAAGCCCACACATCCAATTATATTGAAAATGGTTTGGGTTTTATGAACTTAGTGTCTCTAAATATCAGTGTCCCTTTCTCTGAATGTCAGTCTCCTCCATTGCCACTACCTCAAGTCATTTATCATTCTTCACCTTGACACATGCATTTGGTTCCTGATTAGTCTCTCTTTCAAATCTGTCTCTGACCATCACCACCAAAATATCATCTTCCACTTGCAGAGTGGATCATTTTTAAATTATTGAGCGCAGTGCCCAGCGAACAGATATTGAGTTCTTAACTATTTATTGAATGAATAAACACAAAGCTAATTATTTTATTCCCCTCCTTAAAATCCTTCAGGGGTCCTCTGGCCTTATTTAGATGCCCCCACTTTCGTGTTCCCTTAATACTATGTGCATACACTATGCTCTAAGTGGTAGTTTGCTAATTTGTCAACCCCCAATAGACTTAAGTTCCTTGAGAACAAAGAAGATATCTAATTCATCATTCAGTCTTTAATATATAACACATGGGTTCAATAAATATTGTATAAAGTTCTACAAAGTCCATGTCCTCTTCAAGGACTAGGACAAACTTGAAATTCATAATACTGATTCCTTCTTATACGTTAATTGATAGAAACAAATGGTGATGATTGAAGGCAGGGTTAAAAAAAACCATGAGAGGAATAACTCAATTAAATTTAACATTTTTTAGAGGCAGAAATTAACCAAAAGTTGTTTAGTGCCAAGATCTTGTGAATTCTAATGTTCCAATGTAGTTTGATTTTTTTTTAAATAATAAATTCTCCATAATTTGAACTGTATTTTGAAATGACTGGTAATTTAGAGAGACTTGTCTAAAGTTTTACTTTTGTTATATAGGACGAGAGAGTTAGTAACACTTTTTTAAATGCACATTTTCTAGTAAGAAGTTGATAGTCTAAAAATGCTTTAGTCTGAAAGGGAACAGGGTCAGTCAAGACAAAGATTCTGGTCCTGTGTTTCTAAGTATTAGTGAATCAGTATACTTAACCCTCTAGAACTTTTCTATCTGTAAAGTCAGGGCATTGGTCCCTTTTGTTCTGAAAAGACCAGTAATGGTAGTAGATACTAATAGTTGATAAATAAATGCTGTATGATCATATTAGGAAAATATCAAGTATTATTTAAGTTCTCATTTTTTAAAATGTATTTGTAGTGTGAACTGAATGTTACCGAGGATGCTTTGAAAGCAATAGCCAGATTGGCACTGGAACGAAAAACAGGTGCACGAGGACTTCGGTCCATAATGGTAAGTTGATGTTATTATACAAAAATTAGATTATTTCTTGATCTGAGTTTTGAGACTATTAAGCCTCTGTGTTTTTCCTTTGAAAGTATATCCAGAGAATTGGCCAAGTGTTGTTTTTGAGATTTTTTTTTTGTCACAGATTTTATCTTTCTTCTTCCTAAAAAGAAACTTTAAGGTATTTGTAACAAAAAAACAGATAATACAATTAATGAAACAGAAAATCAAATCAAAGGAGAGAGAATTTCAGAAAATTCTATACAGGCCTTTTGACTAAGCTCCAGAATGCCTTCTCAGACCCATTGAAATCCTCATTCATTGTTTGTTTGAAATTAAGTTGCAGATACAAAACATTGTACCTCTGAATTCTTCAGTATGGTATTGAACTCATTGGTTTTTATTTTATTTTGTAACAAATCTTAGAGACCCAGCCTATTTTCAGCCACCTACTCTCTTCTTCAGAGTTCTCTCCCCTACCTGCAAGGTCTGGTTGTACAGTGGGTTACTCCTTTCCTATATGCTCCCAAAGCAAGCACATGTTCCTATTCTCTTTTAAGGATTTCACTGCTAAATATTACTTCTCTCATCTCAATAGGACTTTCTGATTGGAACTACACATTTATCACAGGCAGTCTGAGATTATACTCTTTAATGAGGACCTCGACTTCAAGTGTTGCTGATTAAGGACAGATTAAATAAACATGCAAACTAGAATAGTAGAAGATATAGTTGACTTTGTTTAGGAAATTTAATGTATTCAACCAGTATTTTCCTTAAGATGGAATATAATCCAGCCCTTACTTGTAGGCTAAACTAGTTTTCTTTAGTGAACAGCTTTAAATATGCAGCACTTGAGACAAATGCTTTTGAAATCATAGTTCAAAATTGAAGAGTTTAGTAGAGATTATTTAGGATTAAATCATTTTCAAAGTAAGGGATTACTAGTTGATCTCCTTGGTCATAGAATATGCCAGGAATGCTTCTGAGAAACATCTGAATCCAAAAGTATAGTCTTTTTGTATGTGCATGGTGACCTAAGTAGATAGAACTATAGACAAATAGCCTTCCCTTATAGAATGATTTCTCTCTGAATTTAGCTAGAAGCTGTTTTAATATGAAGAATATGAAAGCTTTTACATTGACTTTCAACATTCAGTTCCTGGTGCATAATAGGGACTCGGTAATATGTGTTGAGTTAATGATTTCTATTTGTGGTCTATAGAATATAGGTATTTTGTATGTAACCTCAGTTTTCCATGTCATTCATTACTTTTTATCTCTTTAGGAAAAGCTGTTACTAGAACCAATGTTCGAAGTCCCTAATTCTGATATTGTATGTGTGGAGGTTGACAAAGAAGTAGTAGAAGGAAAAAAGGAACCAGGATACATCCGGTAAAGTGTATTGTCAAGCTAGAACAGATCTAAAACTTAAGATCAGCTTTTTATTGCTGTGGTTTATTGGTCTTCATAAAAATTGCATAAAAATCTCTATATTCATAAGGGAAGCAGTAATCTCAAATTTTCTGTAAAAATTGTTCTAACTTTGTTTTCTAAAATAATATTTGTGAATCTTTTTGAAACTCGATCTTCAAAATTAGCCTCCATTTTATTTCCTCTGAGGAAGAAGTATCAAAAGAGATCAAAGTAATCCAGATGAAGAGATTTAAATGAATTTTGCTACTAATTCTGTAATTTGTGAATGACTTGTTTCATGTCTTTCACAAAACCAAAACTTTGTGGACCGTAATTTTTCTCTCATTTGTATCAGATCAGTTGACAAAGTTGACACATCTTTCACTGCTTTATTTATTTATTCCAGGGGTCAGCAAACTTTCTTGTAAAAGGCGAGATAAATATTTTAGGGCAGCTACTCACACTGCCCTCATAGCACAATAGCAGCCATAGACAGTCCATAAATGAATGAAGATGTCTGTGTTCCTGTAAAGCTTTATTTACAGAAATAGATGATGGGCTTTATTTGACCTCTAGGCTGTAGTTTACTGACTTGATCTATTCAGTCATTATTTATTATACAATGCTTGACATTAATGTTACCTACACAAAAATTAGGTTTCTGTTTTAACTGTCACAAGATATGTTTTATGTTTGCTTCTAAGATAACTTTGAAGGCAGTTGACTGGTTTTGAACAACCTTAGTTATTCAAAGAGACAATCTTTTATTTTCATTGTTTAATGACATTAATATATAAAGGAATTGTGGTCTGATTATAATTTTGACCAATTTTAGTCAAGTCAGATTTGGTCAAAAGCTGTCATCTTCTTTACTGTAGACATATGCTAAATGTCAAGCATTTGAGTTGAAATAATGGATTCTAATTTTTTTGCGGGAGAAATGGAATTTTTTAAGCCTTCAAAATTAAAGCCTTGTTGCCAGTTTATTTCAGTAATAACATTTATTTGGGAAAATTACTTGTAACTCTTGGCCATAGGGTTTAAACTTTTTTCCTATTTTGCAACCTTAATATTAAAAATGCACTTAATATTTTCTTTTTTATGTGGCTTTTCTAGTGAAATAGAATAATTTATTGAATCCAGAAATCATGTTTATCCATAATTTTTATTTTTTAAAAAACCGATGGTTTTTCATTATAGGGCTCCAACAAAAGAATCCTCTGAGGAGGAATATGACTCTGGAGTTGAAGAAGAAGGATGGCCTCGCCAAGCAGATGCTGCAAACAGCTAGACTGTCAGACTTCTGTATATAAAGCTTTTTCCTTGTGTTTGGGATTGTAACTGTCTCTACAGTCTGACATTAAAAGCATTGGATCTATCTTGGTTATCATACATGGTCAGGTGCCTTTAGGGTAAAAATCAGATCATGTATATTAGGTAACATCACATTGATTTATACAGAAAACATTATGTGGACTTTAATGACACAATGTTCAGAGATAAAATGTATATTATTTTGGTTCAGTTTTTTAAAAATATGGTTACATTCTTAGGTGTTCTTTTAAATAATGCAGGTGTTGCAATAACTGTGGATTTTACAATAATGTTACTCTACAAATGGGAAAATAAATTCTTTAAAATTGAAGGTTGGGATACTATTATTTAGTTTAACCTTTTCTACCCATATTTGTTTCCTGAAAATATTAGAATTTCATTCATTTAAAAAATTTGAACAGGTAGTTTTCAGGTAGTTAAAAATTTCATGGAAAAAGTACCCTGGAGATTCATATTTTAAATGGTTTATTTAGCTGTATTCTTAGTCTTACCTAATGTATGACACTAACTTCCCATTTGGTACTACAAAAAAAGCCATTCTCTTGCTGACTTGTCTGATTTATTTGCCATCTGTAATGCATTTTAGTACCATGAGTAAGCAGATAGAATTGAAGCCTGCCTTAAATCTTCAGGAAAAGATCACATCTAAGTCTAAAAGTAGCATTCACCATCAACCATAACAGCCATGTGCTAAACTAAATAAAATATCCTAACATTGTGCACTTACCTAAAGTACTCAGCTAGTTGTTGTTTTTTTTTTTTCATGCTGGATATTCGTCTAATTCTTTGGCTTCATAGAACATTAAAGAAAACCTTTGCTTTGCTATCAGCAGAAGTTAATATGTTCACACTAAAATATAAGTTATTAATCTTCATTATGTAACAAAACTAAACAGTGGGAGGAGTTTAGGGGACTTAAAAATTAAAATCGTTTCTTTCCATAAATATTAAAATATTTGGGTACCTTTTAAGATTTTTCTTCTAAAATGTTAACACAATTATCTGTACTATTCATTCAGGTCAAACTTCCTTGAAATTGTTTAAATCAGAGTACATTGAAATATTTGGATATTTGGATTTTTCAGTTTATAGACTCAAGTTTTCCTTTTACCCCCTTTTCCTTAGAAAGAGAACTTTAGGCTATTAGCAGATTCTAAGTCCTGTTGATGAAGAGTTGGGCTTTTTATGATGTAATAAGAGACGTGAAATATCTATTTATGGCTGGAGTAGGATCAGAAATATACTTTTGCAGAGTGTTTAAGCCTGGTTGCTATAGTATGGAACAGAAACAGATATCTTTAGTCTCCCTAGCAATGGTTAAAGTTTTTCTCAGGAAGTCTTTCATATAACTGTTCATTATCTTTCTCTCTTGGTGTCATTTTCCTCTTTGTAGAGTGAAAATTGGAATAGCTACTAAATATATTAAGGGTAATCATCCAGAAATGGACTGGGAGACATTTTAGTCACAACAACTTACATTTGGTTTTGGAAGTTGTTAACAAAGCATAATCGATGTTTTTAAATTAAACACAACTTAGTATAACTACGATTTGTATCTTGAAACTTACATTTTGGCATTTGAATAAAACAAAAGGACTAAATGAAAGCCAGTGTTGTGTTGTGTCCATAATGCAGTGACATTTTTAAAAGGACACAAATATCATGAGCTGCTTTATTCTGGTGATTGGTTAATCTTTGGCACTTTCATATCCCTCTAATTCTCTTAGTTGTGGATTCCACAGACAAAAAGTCTGTTATTAAAGCTTATATTAAATATTTTTTAAAAATTCTTAAATATCCTGCACAGTCCCCACACTAGGGAGGGACACAGACCAAGGTTTTCAAGAAGCTTAGTAGTCTAATAGAAAAAGCAAACAAACATCAGTGCATCATAATAATGGAAGTGAGGTAAGTAGGTACCAGGTGTGGTGGCACAAAGGTCGGGGCTCAGATGGATTTGGAAGAACAAGAATTTTCCAGAAAGCGATAATGAAAATTAAATTTCAGGAATGTGAAACAACAACTAGGGAGCTTTAGGAATTTGAGATATAGGCAACAAATTTGACTTAACATTACTCCCCTGAAATGATCAGTTAATACATTCTCCTCTCCAGCTGAAGACTTTGCCTCACATTTCATTGAGAAACCATCAGAAGATAGAAGTAATCTTCTCATCATCAAATCTATAAGCCCACCTGCTTTGGCACTCAACCTTTTCAGGTTACAACTGAAAAATCCTTCAAAACAATCACTATACGTCATCATGTGGGGATCCCATCATCCCCTCTCATTCCTCAAGGCATTTAGTTCTTTTTGTTAGTATCTCTACTACGTTATTCATCTCTTGCCTTCTGAATCATTCCCAGCGGCATCTAGACACTGCCTAGTTTATTTTTCACTTGTCTTTCTGACTACATAACTTCAGGGTAAAGATCATGTCTGTTTTGTTAACTATAACAGCACCTACCATAGTGCTTCATATATTTGGTGCTCCATACATTTTAAAACAATAGAATATCGTATGCCAGGTTAAGTTGTAATTTTATGCAGAAAGTAGAGTGGGCCATTATCAAAAGAGTTTTAAGCAGAAAAGTTGGACATGTTAAGATGTATTTTAGATTGTCAGGAAGGGGAGCCTCTGAAGAAAATGGGAAATATGACTAGAGACCTACTCATGGACATTTCTCCAGCATTTGCCCCTCTATCTCCTACCTTATCACTTTCCTCCTGTTTTTCAGATCAGTTCTCATCAGCACACAAAACAATTCCCTGAACCCAAATTCCCTCCACAGTAAACTAGAGTGAGATAAGCTATTGGAAGGTTTTGCACAGAGAAATGACATAATCTGACTTAAGTTCTCAAAAACCATTCTGGTTGCAGTGTGAGTAAACAGACTGTAGTGGAGCAAGGATCGAGTCAGGGACACTTGGGGCTATTGTAATAAGCCTGCTAGGAGATGATGGATTGGTCCAAGGTGATAGCAGTGGAAGTGGAAGAGTGGATGGGTAGGTATTTTTGCAAATTCTGTGAAAAGTGGTATCTCATGTTCTTCAATGGGGGAACTCAGTATTATAATATCTGCTACCCCTAATTAATTTACATACCTAAAGTTCTTATAAAATACCAGTAAAGTTTAAAACCAAAACTACATAAGTAGATTCTAAAAGTTCATATGGAAAAAAATAAGAATGGTAAATAAGCAAAATGGTAATGTACACATACAGTGCTTACTCTGTCACTCTGTACATTTAATGCAACAACTGAGATAGTTTCTATTACCAACCCTTCTTAAAGATGAAGAAACTGAAGCCCAGTGGTTAAGTAGCTTTTCCAAGATCATACAACTAGTAACAGCCAGAATTTATCCCCAAGTACTGATTCCAGAGCCTCTTCATTTAACCAACATATAGATAGAATGAAGAGGTGCCGCCGCTTCATTCAGTGTATGGCAGATCAATGGCAAAAAATGTGAAGTCCATAAATAGGTCCCAAATGTATATACGAATTTAGTATCGGAAATGGCGATATTTCAAATTGGGAAAAGACTATTCGATAAATGATAATGGCAGTATTCACCCAGAAAATATAAAGTTATATCCATACCATACCTAACAATTTTAAGATAAAAACCGAAGCCTTTAAATATTATATAGAGTATTATATGATACATAAGATACAAGGAAATATATAGAGTATAAAAGACTTTCTGAGAAATAGGAGAGGCCTCTTGGGAAGTGGGGTCAGGCTCTGATTGGTTCTTTTCATGATGTAGAACTGGACTCTTACCCAAGGAGTTAACCATTACTTTTGGTTTAAAAAAAAATAAAGAGCTAATCATGTGATGCCAGGGCAACTGGACATCCAAAGTAGGGTGGGAGTGGGGGGATGGGAGGAGAACTTTGACCTAGGTCTCACGCCTTATACAAAAATTAACTCAAAATGGATCACAGCCTTAAATGTAAACCTATAAAACTTTTAGGAAAAGCACAGGAGAAGAATTTCAGGATCTAGGGCTAAGTAAAGAGCTTTTAGACTTGACTCCAAAAGCATCCCAAAAAAGGAAAAACTGGTTAGTTGGACTTCACCAAAATTAAGAACTTTTGAAAAAAGTCCTGGGAAAAAAAAAAACCTGTTAAGAGGATGAAAAGACATAAGCTGGGATAAAATATTTGCAAATCACATATTAGGTAAAAAACTAGTATGTAGAATATATAAAGAACTCTCAAATCTGAAGAGTCAAAAAACAATCCAATTAGAAAATGGGCAAAAGACTTGATCAGACATTTCAGTGAAGAGGATATACAGATGGCAAATAAGCACATAAAAAGATGTTCAACATAATGTCATTAAAGAGGTGCAAATTAAAACTACAATGAGATATCACTACATACCTATCAGGATGTCTAAAAAAATAACATCGCAAAATGCCAGAATGCAGAGAAACTGGATGTTTCATATATTGCTGGTGGTAATATAAAATGGTGCCGCTGCTCTGGAAAACAATTTGGCAGTTTCTTTAAAAAACTATGCAACTGACACATGACCCAGCAATTGCACTCCTGGGCATTTATTCCATAGAATTTAAGGTTTATGTTCACACAAAAACCTGTATACAAATGTTTATAACAGCTTTATTCATGATAGCCCCCAAATGGAACCAACCCCAAAGTGGAAATATCCTAGAATAAAGCTGTTATAAACATTTCCCCAAATGGAACCAACCCCAAAGTGGAAATATCCTTCAACAGGTGAATGATTAAACAAAGTGTGATTTAATTTTACCCATACTTTTGTTGCACACTTTTATTGCAATAAAAGGGAACACTATTGATAAGAACCACCTGGATGAATCTCCAGAGGATTAGGCTAAGTGAAAACAGAGTCCCAAAAGGTTATGTACTATATGATTCCATTTATATAACATTCTTGAAAGGACAGTTATGACACTGCAGAAAAGGTTAGTGGTTGCCAAAAGTTAAGGGAAGTGGGTGTGGCTATAAAGAGGCAAATGAAGTATCCTGGAAGTGATGGAAATAAATGTTCTGCAACCTGACTGTATCAATGCCAACATCCTGGTTGTGGTATTGTACTAGTTTTGCAAGGTATTACCATTTGGAGAAACTGGGTAGAGTACGCAGGATCTCCCTGTATTATTTCTTACAACCGCATACGAATCTACAATGACCTTAAATAGTTTAATTTAAAAATCTAATCATGTAGCATAGCCTTCCTTTCCCCTCCTAAAATCCTCCAGTGGTTTCCCATTGTTCTTAAAATATGAGATCCTGAACGCTCTAGCCTCTGTCCACCTTCCGGGATCACCAGGTTCCCTCTCAGGCTTTCTGTGCTCCAATCACACGCGCATTCTTTCAGTTCCCCTACTAAACCTACTTCTACTAGGGGGCTTTCGCAAATGCTGTTCCCATCTGAATTGTGCTTCTCTCTCTTCTTCTGTTTAACTCTTACTTGTCCTTCAGGCCTCAGATGGAGCCTCAAATCCTTAGGATAACCTTACCCAGCCTCTTTGTCAAATTCTCCTATAAGCTCTTCTTGCCCTGTTTTCTTCTTTGGTAGTACTGTACTTAAATTCACCGCTGCACTTTACATTTGTTTGCATGATTACTAAAGGCGTTTTCTTTACAAGACAGGTAGTTACCAGAGGAAAGGAATTGTGTGTTAGTTCACTGTCTGCAAAGCATCTAGCTCCGCACCTAGACTGCTCTCTTTAAGAACGATATTTATGAAGGACAGAATGAATTCTCCCTTATGCACCGAGCTCTCTGGGCTCCGCGCGTCACACTGGCGTCGCTCTTGGTACTACGTCACTTCCTCCCGGAATCCACTGTCTCGGGAAACCACTCAGATTCCTGTCACTTCTCAGAAACCCTCGGTGGTGGCCATGGCTCTGCCGCCCTTCTTCGCCCCGGGTCG